GTAAAAAAAAAAAAATAAATGTTTATTCAGAGAAAGTACGTTTTTGTGTCTGATTTCGTAACTTAATTAATTTTTAGCACTAATTAATTCGCATATTTGAGGTCACCCCCAGGAACCATTAAGATTGACACTTAGTTCGTGAGTTATTCAGGGTGATATCTTTTTTTTTTTTTTTTGCGGACTGTACATGGATAGGAAAAAATTTCTAAATAAATAATTTCAGCATTTAAAAATAAATAAAAATGATAAATTAATTACATATTCGGGAAGTCAATCACTCTATGAAATGACATTTCACACTTTTTATAGCTAACATCAAATTATATTCCCAGAACTGTCATAAACACACTACAATCCCAGGACCCCATACTTCTGGACCCTAGGCCCCATTGCCTAGAGCTAAACATTTTAAAACTTCATTTCCCAGGGCCCCACATTTTTGAGGCCAGTGAATTATTATTTTTTTTAGAAGATTTAATTTTAGCAAATAACATTCAAAAACTTTTAAATTTTAATTAAAATTAGAAAATTACAATTTTAAAATAAATTTTTAATTAAATACATGTTTCAGACTAACAATAAAAAAAAAATAGAGATAAGTATATAATTTAAAAAATTTCGGCAAAAATCTGAATGGGATACTAAGAATTCCACCCTGCAGAAACAGAATAGTATTTCAGGGCCACCATTCATTGTTTTGCCCCCAATCTTGACATTTCAATATATTTCTGTAACATTCAAAGTTATAATACCTCTATCCATTATTCTTACATTTTCAATATTATATAAAAACCAAATCATGTTTTCAAGAGAGTAATAAAATAAAATCAATTTTTCAACAGCGCAGGCGATAAAGTCGCCAATGTAACCTCAACAAGAGCAAATAAATGAAACTTTTTTGTTTTGACGGTCATTTTTTTTTTTTTAAATTAATAAATTAAAAAAACTGAGTCTAATTTCACCGGCGAAATGGAAAAGTACGAAATAATAATCAAAAATTGTAACAATGATAAAGTCGCAAAATAAAGTATCAACACATTGTAATCAACTTAATCACTTTATTGATTTGTTCCCTGCCTATTTCAAGGGGGAAGGATTACTTATTAAAGCTATTTTATTTCCGATTTTTGTTTTTAAATTTTTTTTTATTGCTTATTTGCTTATAAAACACGTATACATCAATTCTCAGATTCCAAATTCCCATCTTCCTACTTTCTTTTTTCGGTCCTTAACGTGCAACTTATTTTATTCCATTCCTACTGCAGATTACCGACTAAATCCGCTTTTTATTCAACTGTGTAGTCATGAAAAACTTCTCCATAAAAATGAATTCACTGCAAAGAAAGGTCACCATCATTATATATTTTTTTCACCCTCAAATAAAAAAAAAAAAATTGTAAGACGATTCTTCTGTACATTCCTACATTTTTTTCTTTCTCTCCCTCCTAATACTTTCCCTTCTTCCCCCCACCCCTCAAGAAGAATGGATCATAATGAAAGCTTAGCGCGCCATGTTGAATTGGAATGGATGACACATGCGACAGCTGGCAGATTGCGAAAATCTCATGTCGGCATACTTTCAGCAACCACTACTATGTGTCAAGAAAAAAATTGGCCCCCCCCCCCCCTTCTCTAACCGATTGATGCACGCACGCGATGGTAGAGATTTTAAGAATTTCAGAAGTTAAAACTTAAAAAAGAATTTTCTTACAAGAAACGTAGATTGAATCGACCTTGTGAATAAAACAATCACGAACCTTTTTAGCAAATCACTAACCTTCAACTATGCTAACGTAAGAAAGTCAAAACAACCCCTCTATTTTCGGCTTGAACTTTGATTTTACTATATTAATCTATCTTTAGAATGACATTCAAGTAAAAAATGTAACAAAATTTGCGTTTTCATTCCTTTCACCTAATTTTGAGTAAAATCTTCTTCAGGAATCTTCAGTGATTTCATTATTTAGTCAAAACTCTTGATCTCTAAAAATCATTTTAAAAAAAATAATAAAATTAGAGTAAGCATTGTCCATTATCTTCTTCCCCCCTTGGACTGCAAAAATAAACGCATTGCAATCCCCTCTTACTTGCTTAAGTGATGCTTAAACAGAAACCTGTTTCATACTTGTTATTTACATAGAAATAAAAATTCATGTGTTCTTCAAGAAAAATTGGAATTATGCGTTAAAAAGATAACGAAAAAATGTTATAAGAAGCAACATAACAGGGTATCTGCTAAATCAAGAGTTTTTAAAAATCGCGAAAATATTAAAATAGTGACTATATTAGAGCAGTCACGAAAATCAAAGAAAGTGACAAATGATTTATTTTTGTATTGAAATGAACTATTTCAACTGCCTGCTATCTGTTCGCAAAAAAATGTGTTAACTTACAAAAGCATTGGTTTTAATTTATTATGAAATACATTTTCTCAAAA